TACAGCTTTTATCACAACCCATGCATCCATCCATTGTGTCAAAGACATTTGTACATTTGTTGCCATCATCATTTTCAAAACATTTTCTTTCTACTGGAGCCCTTGGTATTGGCTCCTCATTTTTCCCCTCCCTCCCCCATGAACCTTTGATAATTTATATTATTATTATTTCATGTCTTACACTGACTGATGTCTCTTTTCACCCATTTTTCTGTTGACCGTCCCCCTGGGAGGGGGTTATATGTGATCAGTTCCTCCTTCCTCCTCCCACCTTCCATTTCCCATCCTGGTATTGCTACTCTTGCTTTTTGGGGTTTTTTTTTTTTTTGCTGCTCTCGTTATTGGTCCTGAGGAGATGATCTGTCCTGGATTCCCTGTGTTTCTAGCCCACGTACGTGGTCTGGTCTAGCTGGATTTGTAAGGTAGAACTTGAGTCATAATAATGGGGGGAGGAAGCATTAAAGAACTAGAAGAAAGTTGTATGTTTCATCGTTGCTACACTGCACCCTGACCGGCTCATCTTTTCCTTGTGGCCCTCTGTAAGGGGATAGTTACTTCTTGTTAAAGTTCATTTTGACTTGCCTTTTCAGTTACTTCCACATCAGCACCATTCCAGAAAGCTGGCCTCTCGCTAGATGAAGTTTCACTGTCATACTTCAAGCTTCTTTAAATACACCAGTGCAGAACACATATACCTAGACAGACACATTCCTTTTCTAACGGGCAAGCATTTGTGGCAACTTCTAGTGTTTCTCATCTCCTGCCTGGGATGTTTCTGGTGTTGGTTCAGAGTTCATGGCATGGAAAGATTCCTCAGTTCAAAATTCCAGCGCACCCGCTTGCTAGCTACGTCCTGAGTCTCCATTTCCTCATTGTGAGGCCCACGTGATCTCTGCAGAAGGGCTATTGATCGCAGTTAACAGAAACAAGATGGGTCCGAGCACACAATGTAAACACGCACACACACACAACCTCACAAAACAAAGAGAAAAAACAAAAACCCAGCATGCCAATATCTTAGCCATGGAGATTAAAAGCGCACACTCTTGCCTGTACACTTAGGCCATGGTTCGCACCAATTTAGTTACGGAAGTAATCGACAAAGACACAGAGTCTCTCCCTATGTATATTCTTCCATCAATCATACTAGATGGAAAACCAGAAATGTGAATCAAACACAAGCACACACATGCTCAAAAGGGCATGGGAGTTGCAAGAAAAGAGCCAGCAATCAACATATGTAAACCGTGACTGGGTGCTTACCAACACACCAGGAAGTACTAGGGAAAATAAGGTTTATTTAAAAATCAACTGCCGACTGCCTGGCACTGAATCACATTTCCCTAGATCTCCCTTCCCAGCCACCAATCCCCTAAATCCCAAACTCTTAACAGTCCTGGGGCATCCTCACACATCTCTCGGGTCTCCGATGACGCACGTTTTAGGGATGGCCAGGTGTGTTTCACAGCAAGGTCCACCTCCTTCAACACCAACTCTGCTCTCCAACTAGCTTCCTCGAAAAGACCAAGTACAGAGGAAAGTACAGTTCTCACAAACATTCTGATACTTATTTATTTTGTGGGTGTCAGCGTCCAACATGTCATCCTGTGGCGTTCTGGGTCTTTGGTTAAGTACAACTAACTCAGTATTAAGCGCAGAGCTAATTCTCAAATGTTGGACCTACCTGATAGCTAGAGTTCTGTCCTTTGTTCTGTTTGTTTATTTTAACGATGAACTCAGGGATCACACATGGTTACAGCACGCCCAGCCTGGCAGCTTTCTGCTGAGGAGCCTGTGTTACGTGTATTGAGCTGCTAACCACAAAGACAGGAGTTGGAACCCAGTAACCACTCCTCAGGGGAGAACTGAGGCTTTTGGCTCAGGAAAGGTTTATAGCCTTGGAACCCCCAAGGGTCCCGTTCTGCTCCGCATGATAGTATGCCCATGAATCGGAATGGACTTCGCAGAGGTTTTTGGGAGGCTTTGGAGTCGTCTCGCATGAGCACAGGCCTCTGAAATATTTTAATTGTTTTCATTCAATACTCCCAAATGTCCAGAAAAATCACACTGGCATTTGTGACAGACGGTAAATTCTTTGTGGCAAAAGATCACAGTTGAACTATTTCAAAAAGATAAGAGACCAGCATCTCACATCAATAATATGTGGTTGGCCTGGTTGCTTGCTGGCGATCCCAGTCTTTGGTTGAAACCTGATGCGCTTTCTGAGGACAAGCCTACAATGTGAAAACTGACGTATGATTACTTCCTATCACCTGGCAGTCCACCAAGATCCTCACAGAACATCGATGGGGGTAGTCTTGACGCTAGTCTGGTCTGCAACTTGACACACAGTTCGCATCTGTGTCTTAAACACGGTAATAGTTCAACACCTGTCGTGTTGGAAAGATAGTACGTCTTTCCCCCAAACATCTCAGGACATAATTTTCAATCCCCCTGATTCTAAAAATACCGAGTGAGTGATATAGATCTGCCAGTATGCCAAAGAAGGCTTGCGCCATCTGCTTCATTCTGTTCCTGATGATTATTTTGGGAATGGGAGAGGATCAGATTGGAATATGAACACACACACACACACACACACACATGGGAGAGGATCAGATTGGAATATGAACACACACACACACACACGGCCAGGAAGGGCTATACTCCCGTGGGGTTGGTGGTATATGATTGTGAAAGGAGAGGTCAGAGCACAAGTGTCACTCCAGGATTTCCCCGATGCCGTGTAATATAATCATCTGAGGGAGGACACATGTTTTACGATATTCCTGAAATAAACTATGACTTCTGACTTCTATTTCCATTGTCCCCAGTGACACAATGCAAAGCCAGTTTCTGAGAGGAAATTGAATTTCCATTTTTAGTCTTCCAATATGAGTAACTCTAGCCCTTTGTGCAGATTCATTCATCACTTTCCATGGTCAACACTGTGTAGACGTTTCGACTCTGAACACCTTTCTCACATACTCTGAAACCTGGAGTTGTTTTTCTAGAAATGTGTTAAGATGAATTTTAAAAGGGCCTCTAGCAAGGTTCTGATTTTTCTTATACTCACAAAATGAGGACTGGCCTACCACACATTGGGTAGACATTCTTATCTGGCTCTGAGAAAGTGTTTTTCTCAGTAACAAGTCTTTAAAGGACTTGGGTAGCAAGACTCGTCCAATTAAAGAACTATCTAGATCTAGCAGCAGGAGAAGAAGGGCGGCTAGAAGCTCAGTTTGCTGTCTGTTTTCTTTCTACACACGGAGGTTGTAACCGTGCGGAGCACAGCGCAAGAAAACTTCACTCCGGGAGACGTCGGACAGGGCAAGATACGACAAAATAATAATGTATCAATTATCCGAGGCTCATGAGGGAGGGGGGAGCGTGGAGAGGGGGAAAAATGAGGAGCTGATGCCAGGGGCTTAAGTGGAGAGCCAATGTTTTGAGAATGATGAGGGCAATGAATGTACAAATGTGCTTTACACAACTGATGTATATATGGATTGTGATAAGAGTTGTCTGAGCCCCTAATAAAATGATTAAAAAAATAATTGTACAACTCTTCTTGATATGATTGAACTACTGAATTATATGATATCTGGACGAAGTTTCAATAAAACTGTAAAAAAAAAAAAAAAAAGACGAAGACTTCACTCCCATCAAACGTCCAATCAGAGAAAAAGATAGCAATGGGGCTGGGCTAACTTGGCTGAGGATTACAGCTGTGAGTCTCTGAAGAAGGTCTTGCCAGGTGGCTGTGATGAGCCAATGGTTGGCTTTAGGGCCTGGTACATTCTCTAAAATTCTGTGCAAAATTATGGCGCGTGCGCGTGCGCGTGTGTATGTGTGTGTGTGTGTGTGTGTGTGTGGTGCTGG